AACAAGCATTTGTGTTTGTGTTGTTAGGCTATATTTGCTTATTATCACTATAAAGAACTGTACGTTTATTCATTTATGAACGCTGTTACAGAATTTGTCTTAGTGACATTCAATGCAATATTTTATTAAAAGATAATGCAGAGGACTGTTTGAGTAACACTTTCGTCTTTGTCACATTTACTGTCAAGATTTCGCAGCTTACAAACATCCGACTAACCGGAACCTGTAACTCTATCATAATTATTACATATAAACTTCATGACTGGCACTTTTGTAACTGACTAAAGCTGAACAACAGACCTAGGAGGTTTGTCTATATTTCAACTTAAACATTTTTATTTTATTTTTTGGGGGGGGGGGGGCATTACATCCATGTTTGGAAATCATTGCATGAACATCTATCTCTATAAGCACTCTGAAACATGTAAGGCATCATTTTCATATTTATTGTGACCTAAAACTATATTAAATGTTTATTTTATACAGTATGTTATATATCACATTTTAGTTACCATCTTCTTTAAAAGAAGAGAATGGTGTGTTTTATAAGTTTGATAAATGGAGAAGTTTTTACATGCTCTGACATTTGTGTTTTTTCAGTATCTTAAAAATATATTAATGGCTAAAGTCTGATTATACTGTATTCAGCACAAACTAGGGTACAATAATATGCGAGCAACATGAATGTACATGTTTGTGTGTTTGCGAAAACAATGTTTATGCATGGTTAGTGAAAAAACTAAAAGTTTTGTTTCAAATGTTTGATAAATGGCTTGCTTTAGTAACATGTTTGATACCATACTGTCATATATAAGAATATTTTTTATTTATTATCATAATCTTTTAAAATAGAGATGAGTCTCTTTTTAGCTTGTAATGTTTATGTATGTGTGTGCTTGTTTATATGATTTATCAGAACACACATTTGTATAATGACATGGGTATTACACTGCTATAGCAATGTAAATGTGGTTTATGATGACATTTCTGGAGTCCTCATAATTAAGTTTGCTTGCAAATAATATTTAATTAAAATGGAATCATATGCAGAATTTTATGTGTGATGGGCAGGTGTACAGTTTATACAATAAATAACCATTACGCCTATATGGAGTGTACCCACTAACCAGATGTGTGGTAATAGTTTAAATGAATGACAGCTTTTTAAAATAAAAATTATAATAAATGATGTTTGTGAAAATATAAAAATGTAGAAAGTTTGCTGTAATGGTTAGGATTAGGGGATGATATAGTATAAAAATCATTAATATAATGTAAATATAAATATAAAAAGGTTCTAAATATATTGTAGAAACTTAAATTTTCTGTGAAACTGCTTTGCAACAATTTGGTTTGTGAAAAAGCTATACAAATAAAAGTGAATCGAATTGAATTATGTCTATGGAAAGTCTCAGTAAAACATGACATTGACATGTCCGGACATGTCTGGGATCCAGAATATCCCTTACCGTTTGGCCTGTTAAAATTATTTTTTTTCCCTTTACTTATTTTGACGTCACTGGCTCCTCATTACAAAATGTTTTGTTCCCTAAAACTAGTGTAAATGTTTTGCTTGGTTTTATATCGTGTGTGATCGCATAATTTATTAATATTAATTTCAAAGAAGAGAATAAGACTCAGACGATTGAATGTTAGTGTTAGTTTAAATATATTTGATTGTATAAGTAAAACGCGTTTGTTAGGCAGAGTAGTTAGAATAAATAAAAACTATAACATAGAATTTAAATATACAGACAGTCTACAATTTGTTTATTAACTGTTACCGTTTTAAATAACGACAGACCCTGAGAAACTAAAAGAGGAATGTGTGCTATTTATGATATAGTAACAATAAAGATATTTCAAATCACACAGTTACATCCTAAAACGTGTACAAACAGTACAGTTGTTTTAACAATCTTTTCAAACAAATCATAATGGTTCGGTCTCCATCTGGTTAAATATTTCAAACAATGAGGACTGATAAGGTGAAAAGACGTTCTGAATTCTTTCCCATTAACTTTTGGGAAGGGTGGACAGACACGAGCTGCGTCCGTGCCGTAGCAAAAACATAAGCATAGTCGAATTTGAGTGATAAAGGCTGATTAATATTTCAAACGATCGTATAAATGTAATATAGACTATATAATTAAAACATTTCGAAATCCCGCTCTGCATGAGATCGGGGCTAAAAATGACGGCCAGCTCCACGCCATACCGTCTCAGTCCACTGCTCCACAATTCTCTTCGGTGTTAGACATGCTTAGAGGGGATACAGATCTTAAACATTTCGTTTGAGACGCTACTGAAATACTGTGAAGGCATGATCTGGCTCCACATTAGTAATTGTGTTATTCCCTAAAACTAGTGTAAATGTTTTGCTTTGTTTTATATTGTGTGTGATCGCATAATTTATTTATATTCATTTCGTTTAAAAGAAGAGAATAAGACATGGATGGTTGAGTGTGAGAGCGAGAGAGAGAGAGAAAGAGAATGAGGGTGTGAGAGAGGGGGGGGGTAGAGGTTTTTGAAAACCACTCATTCGAAGAATGGTCATCCATGCACTAGGAAAAATGTAAGGGATTATATTTTTACTCATTTATTGATTTATTCATTAAGCTTAAAGCTTCTTATTTGTTGTTTTATTTTCAATTTCATTATTGTTCATGTTATTTAATACCTTTTTTTATATTGGTGAGAATCATTTTATACAACCGTCAGAATATATGTGTGGGCACACATATTGTAATCTGTTCTCATGATCTGTTTAAAATTGGTTAAAACCAATTGACCTTAAATTGACCTTAATTGACCTTAAAACCAATATCTTCTTTTGTCACATCCTCCGAGAGAGAGAGAGAGGGAGACATAGAGCCAAAGTCAGATTTTCCATCATCTCTTCATCCCATTCCTTCTCAGGAGTTTTAGGTGAGTATAAGACGTACATGTCTATGTATTTCACAGCTCTTTTCTGATTTTCCACAGAAATGCCTGAGATCTATTTACCTAAGCACACCTTGGAAAGCAGCCGGATTCCTCCCCGGTCATGTGGACATCAGATGCCGGACCGGATGTAGGAAAGCACCATAAAAGCACAAAAACATTCCTCAGGTCTTCATTTATGACATCGAACAGCACTGGACAAACATATTTCTTCCTCCGGAAGGCAAAGGTCACATCTGGTTGTCATTAACAGGTCACGGGGTCATACAACGTGTGTGTGTCGCAACATGGGTGGGATACGTGGGGAGGGAGGGGAAAGGTCAAAAGGTCAAAGCCATAAATCAATCTTGACAAGGGTCATAAATCATTCTTGACACTCTGTGAATCATACTGACTACTAACATGCTTGCTTGGATGTCTCTAGTAATCTTAAAGAGCTTGGTTTGCTGGTTCAGGTGTGTTTGTTTAGGATTGGAGCAAAACTTCCTCTCTTTTGGTTTTATCCAAAGCTTGAGGGACGTCCCCCCAACTGGTACATGCTCAGCTTCAATACATACACTTTCAGAGAAGCTGCACCTGCCAAAAAAATGCTCCTGAATAAATTCAAGCACAGAACTAACTGGACTGTGAACTGGGTACAATTTGCATTCCCTGCGCCAAGCTACAAACAGTCTCCACTCAATAGTAACCTCATCATGCCTGTCAATCTAGCCTGAGGTTAACAAATCCACCCTACTGAAGCATTGCTTCAATGGGAAGTCCACTCCCAGATTTGAAGACCCCGGGATATGTACCGCTCTTAGGGTTGCCTCCAAGGGCGAAGACCCTGGATGTTGACCCACCATTGCAATGGTCGCATATGAAGTAGACCCATCAGAACAACGGGCAAATTTATCAACATAAAAACAAGGAGACTGTGCAACAGACCCACACAAATTCTTCATCCCAGTTTGAATTGGTTCAGACTGGAATAAAACTACTTGCTGCCATTGACTGGCCCATGTCTCAATACAGTCCATGTATGAGAATTCAAGCCCTCCTTTTTCCTGACTAGCTGATCAGCAACGACCCTCTCAGAGTGAGGAAGCCCACCCCAACCTACCCCAAGCCATTACACCTGCCTTCCTTTCCTCTGAGGGAGACTGAGAAGATCTAGAGCAAGGGTGACCCAAAACAGCCTCAAGCTTGATGGGGAGTAAGACACTGGAATGCAGCTGAATGCTGTTTCGCTGTGTGAGCCTTGTGCTTAGTGGCTTGTAGCACCAAGTCAGTGGCCCACCTGAGCTCACTGACTGCCTTAGGAGTCAAGCCAGCTCCTTCATCCAAATCTTTCAGAACATCGGCCTGGTACTCTTGCAAGACTGCCATGGTGTGTTGTCAGGTGCAACAGTACACTTACCCTATGAAACCTCACTTGTAATAAAAAAGTGAGCATGGCAAGAACACACCTCCTGAAATCCATATTGTTTCACCAAGAGGAGAAATAATACTCTCAAAAAGTCACTGAAACATGAAACAAAATATAGACCAGACTAATTGTTTCCTGAATAGAAGAAAATCTAAGATGGTGACGCAGGCATATCCTTAAAAAATGTGTTGACATCAGAAGGCAGTTCTTGTGGACATGCCAAGGAACTGGCAGTGTTTTATATGGCCTTCACACAATTGGCAGCATCGAGTGAACCTATGAAAGGGAACTCCAGTTGCAGAGTAAATAAGAATAATGGTGTAACTATTAATGTAACTTCCATCAAAATAAATAGCACCAACTATCTTTTTGTTGTTGTTGTTGTTTTATGTGAGGATCTTGTCACAAATGTGATTTTGGTTGTTCTTTTAAGACCACTTATTGGAGTTTGAATTTTTAGTGAGAAGTCTTCTGAGACTTCAACCTTGAAACTATGTCATATTTCTTATATTTACTCTCTTTAAGTAGAAAATTGTACATTTTATGCTCACAGACACACTGAGCTCTGGTGTAACTACAAATTTTATACAACTGTTTAATTTCAATTCCCCCTGTTACCAACAGTTTTAGTTTTCTCTTCCCCACACAGAGCCAGAGATGGTCAGGAATCTCAGAGTGACTGAAATCACAACATCATCTTTGTCTCTGACATGGGATGAACCAGCTGGAAATATAGATTTTTTTAGGATTCAATGGACTGAGAAAAGGACACATGCAACAGCTACTAACACTTCCTATCACATCAATGATTTGACTGCTGGAGTCAATTACACATTCTGCATCACTGCTGTGGCAGCAGATAAATCAACAGAAGGAGAAACTTTCTGCATCTCACACTATACCAGTATGTAGAATTATAAAAAATCATTATTCTTCCTCTTTGTAGAAATTTCATGCATAGTTCTTGATACAGAGCAAATACCGTATATAGTGTGCCAATGTAATTTGAAGTTACAAGTGCAGATAGGTTTGTATCTGTCTACATACACACACACACACGCACACACACCTGGAAACTAACAAGAGGGAGCTGGAAACAGGAACAGAGCAAAACTACAAACTTCTAGTCTACAAAACAACAGTGCGAATGACAGAATTGTTACACTAGCATGTCACTGAGTGATCTAATAGGGTTAATATTAGAGATGCACCGATTGCAATTTTCTTGGCCGATTCCGATTTCTGATATTTTTTGTAAGTGTGACCTGCCAATACCGATTTTTGCCGATTCCAATTTTTTTTTATAATTGACAGCATATACAAACAAAAATCTATGCAAATTTCAATGCAAACAATTATTTGCATAATAAAAGCAATGATTAAACATAACAATTCCCCCAATCTGGACTAAGTTACAGAAGTTCTCTCACTTAAACAACTCTCAAAATAAAGTGCTTTGTGACTGGAAAGAGGAAGAAATGAGCTGCTGTTCATAACAAAACTGTCACGGTAGACTATTGTGAGGAATGAGGAAATGATGGATTTCACACAGAACAGTCTTTAATAATCCACAGGAGGAACCACAGGGTAGCCAGGAATCACACGTAGCACAATGACGTTAAGAACCGACAAACACAGACTGCACAGACTGGGGCTAAATACACAGGATAATTGGGAAGAAGGAACGAGGAGACGAGGAGTAGACTTCAAACAATCAGACTTTAATACCACCAATGGAACCAGGAACACACACGTAAGCGGGGAAAGATGAACATTCAATACCAGACAAATCCAGAACGCAAAGGCAACTTAAATACATGGATGATTGGGGAAACACAGGTGCATGGGATCATAATCAAACTAATTAGACTAAACGAGGACAGGAACAAGACCAAATAAGGGAACACTAGAACAGAAACAGGGGCAAAACAGAACATAGACAGTGCAGAATCCTGATATATCGCCCTCCTACCGGAAGGGTGGAGGGCGCCTCACACCGTAGAACAACGGGGGGAATGGGTGGGAACTAAGGAGGAGGACGGACAGCCGGGAGAGGGCTGGCAGACAGAGACCAGGGAGGCAATGAAAGAGGGAGTAGCCAGGGAGGAGACAGGAGGGGCCCGGAGCAGGAGGAGTCAAGCAGGACCCAGGCCACAGCCATGATGGCGACCCACGGTGGAGCCAACGGAGGGAGGAGCCATGGAGGAGGAATGGCCGTCGACTCCAGGGGGCCGACCAACGGCAGTGGAGCAGATGGTGGAGGAGCCCGAGGCGGAGACGGAAAGCCAACGAGCCAGGGGGATGCTGGGGATCCGGGGGGCCAGGGTGGAGTCGGAGGAGCAGAGTCCTGAGGCTATGGCAGGTCGACGCTGGACCAAGGCGAAGCCGGAGGGATGAGGGAGCCCAGTGGAGCTGGTGAATTGACGGGTGACGGTGGAGGCGAGGGAGCTAGGAGCCGAGGTGGAGCCGCTGGGTCTACGGGCCAAGGGGGAGTCCGGGCCTCGGAGGCTGAAGGCGGAGGTGAGGGATTCTCCAGCCAATGCGACGATGGAGGATGGCAGACCCGCGGAGCTTGCACCGTAATGATGGTGGACTGAGGGCGAGCATAGGGGCTGCCAGACGACAGCGGTGGAGGAGGCAGGAGCGGGTGGGAGGGCAGGCATTTGTGAGCCTCCAGGCATTCAGGGCTAAACTCTGGATCGGGAGCCCCCTCTAGGCTGAGCACAGGAACAGGATGGCACTCTGGAGGAGCGGATGCTTGAGGGCGCTTTCGAGGAGCGGGCACTGGAGGGTGCTCTGGACTGGATTCGGGGACTGGAGCCCTCTCCTCTTCGGTGTGGTACATTCGCTGCGCCATAGTCAGCTCACCCTCAGCCGCGGTATAGGGAGCGGACCTCCTCTCCGTGCTCACACCGTCCGTGGCTTTCTCCCTCGTGACGGGCATTGTCGCCGGCTCTCGCAGCTGGTCTGACGGGCTCAGCTCTACATCAGCAAAAGAAAGCAAAAACTCTATGCTACAAAATGCAGTTCTCAAAAGTCTTGTTAACAAATGTTCTGTATGCGTTTTATGGCCTTATTTCAGTGACTTCAAAATTTTAATTTTTCACTAACCACGCATAAACATTGCTTTCTCAAAAGCACAATCATGTACATTAATGCTGCTAACATATTATTGTAGCCCAGTTTGTGCTGTTTACAGTGTTATTAGACTTTAGCCATTTATATGTTTATAAGCAACTGAAAAAAGCACAAATGTCAGGGCATGTCAAAACTTCTCCAGGCCCCCAAAACACCCTCAGACCCAGAGGGTTAAGTTGTATTTACAACACTGTTCCAGAACAGTTCAACCC